TGGCCGGGTAAAGTCCTAAAAAGATTGGTCAATCTTCAGTTAGCCACAAGGCGTGATCATCGACACGTACCTTGTTGAAACGATCGATGCTGGAATAAGGTCTGATCCGGAGGAATTTCAACAATGAATGTAGTTCTTCGACAGTGTTCATCATTGGAGTTCCGCTCATACACCAACGATAGGTGGAATTCAGACGGCAACATGCTTGCGCGGATCTCGTATTTCGATTCTTGATGCACTGAGCTTCATCTATGATGACTCGGTGCCACAGACTGCTCGGGCCGAGGCATGGCAGGTTCTTCAGCAAAGTTCGGGATAAAGCCTCCTCATTCGCGCCAGCCGACTGTAGTTCGTCATACTTTTCCCTGCGCTTCAGTTCCGAGGACAAGGTTCCGAACGTGGTGAGGACCACGTCGTAGTCTTTCAGGTCTCTGTAGCTAACCGCTCGCTTGTCACCGTGTAGAACATAGACTGAAAGTTGATGCCTACCCGGCTTGACAGCCTTCTGAATCTCTCGCTTCCACTGCTGCATTAAAGAGACCGGAGCAACAATCAGTGTGGGTTTCCGCTCTGGATTTGTAGACGGGCGGGACACCATGAGAGCAATGGCTTGTATGGTCTTTCCCAAACCCATGTCGTCGGCCAGGATACCGCCTTTCTTTTCGCTCTCTTCCATGGTCTTCATCCAGGTAAGCCCCAGCTTCTGATGCTCCAGCAAAGTGTATCTAAGCGCCTCCGGGGTGCCTTCCCGCTTTTCCTTGGCAATTTCGGTGTCTGGTCTGATCGTTTCGAGCAATTGTTTGATTTCTTCCTGGACTTGCTTGGGATCCACACCAGGCTCATAGAAATCACTAGATCGAGAAGAATATTGTTAGCACAATGATGCAGTTGCAATCTCAAGGCGCAGGGCAGCATACCTGTAGCCCTTCAACGAAGCATAGTACTCATCAGCAGAAAGTCCTGTGGGCAAGCCGGAAGAGCCTGAGGGTGAGAAGTACGACGAAAATCCTTCAAAGACCGATCTTCCCGCCTGCTGTAACATCTGCCGGCTTGCTTGAAGCCTTGCCATAGTATTCTGCAAGACATTGGGCCCGTACACCGAACCTTGAGGCGCACTGTATCCCGGTGGGATGGAAGGTTGAGTAACTGGGACGTATCTGGCCAGCTCGGTTGCCACGCTCCGACGATTTGGAGAATGACCCGGACGGGTATTATAGCTCGGATACAGCCTGTGATGGCTTTGGGGTCTGGCCTGACCACTGTGGAAGTCTCGGGGTGAGATCTCTGCTACATCGCTGTCATCACTATCGCGCAAGGTAATAAGTGGTAGATGCTGTACTTCTGAATGTCCCGATTCAGGTGTTGACGGAATGCTGTAGGATGAGCGCGAGTGATCCACAAGACGATCCACAAGTGTCGTATTGATGGAACGATGCTCGGGAATGGAAGACGGTCCCGCTGCGCCGCGATATACCAGAGGAGCTTCAGAAGGAAACTGGATGGACGACCGTAAATGATTCGTAGAGGCGGTGCTGCGAGCTGAGGCTGGACGAGGAGGTTCATACAGCCCGTTCATGAGCATACGGGCATACTCTTCGTCACGACGCTCCTGCTCCTTTCGCTCTTCGAGCCATTGCTCTGCTTTTCTCTGCTCTTCCTGGAGTGCGCGCAGGGTATCGTCATTGTCTAAGCCCAAAAGTCGCTTCAGTTCCTCAGACTCATCGTTCAGTTGGCTCTGATGAGTGTGAGACGACGCTGTGCTAGAGTTAGAAGGACGTCTGTCGTCTGTCGCTCGCTTCTGTGGCCGTAAAAAGTTAAGGTCTCCGCTAGAACTCTGACGCCGACGCTTCCGACTGGAATCAGCTTCCAGAGAAAGACCTGCAGGTTCCCTCGAAGCGGACATCGCGGAGCTAGAGCTAGTGGAAGCACGCCTGTGCGTCGATCGTCCTCCAAGTGGCCGATCTAGGTCATCATCGTCATAACCATATGAGCTCGATCTCTTGTTATTGTTAGCATTATCTGCTGACGCTCTTGATATACTCCCTGAGGAACAACCTACGCTTATGGGGAGTCCAGGTCGATATGGGCTTATGTCAAGTGCAGGCTGATATGGCCGTCTCGGAGGAGACATAGCAGAGCTCCCCCACTGAGGAGGACTTAAAGCACCGTTTGAACGTGGAAGAGCGGCGCCGTCTAGCTGTGCCTGAGACAATGGCGACTCAGGCGTACCTGAACGGGCAACCGTAGAACGTGTTTCAGGAGTAGCTTGGCCGCCCCGACGCAGCCGCGCAAGGCGCGTTTCCAAGTCTCTGATAATGTCGAGTATTTCTTGTCTTTCTTCGACAGCATTTGGCCTTTGCTCATTTAAGCTTTGCAGAATGACTTGATGCAGTTGAAGATCGTCCTCGAGATCGTCAATGGACGCATCCTCCGCGATATTTGCCATGCTTGCGTGGAGGCTCCCAACCTGTTGAGAACAGCCTGTCGCCTGGAGCGTAAGAGATTCGCTAGCCAAGTGACGAAAAAAAGTTCAATCAACTGTCTACTAATCTTGATAGATGTCAAATGAGTGACATTAGAAAGAATCGAAGAAGATGGTAAACAGTTGAAGAGACTCAAAGGAGTTGATGGGTTAAGGATTCTGGTGTTCCTCCTTGGCAGAAAAAAGCAACAGACATAAAACAACACCAGAGACGTCGAGACAAAGAGTGAGGGAAGGCTGAGCAATCCTTGAGTCACAGACAGAGGATCTGGCTTCCTCTGTCGCTTTCTCTGACCAGCGCAATCGAGATTCAAAGAGTGTGTATCTGGTTGACTCTGGAATGGGAGTAGGAGCTGGAAAGGAGATGTATCTAACACGGTGGCGACAGCGCGGATAGTTCACTGGATCAATTTTTTTCACTTCATAGAATTCTCTTTCCGTCACTCAGGTTATTGTTGACAGGTCGATACATTGAGGGGATTCGGGTCATAATGACTCCAGAAGTTTCAGTCTGACAATATCCATGGTTCCATTGAGAAATATTGATCTCTTTTGCTAGTTGTCCCTCATTCTGACGACGTCTTAAAAAGGAACAAAGCTCATCAAGGACGAAGACCTCTTAGAACACTCACAATAATGACGTTCAGTGATCACTTCATATTCTCAGAATAGAAACGGTCGCCTTCTACAGTTATTGAAGCAAAGTAATCGTAGTCTGCAGAGACCCTTCTAGCAGGGCCACACAGTATGCTTTCGCAAACTGTGGTCTCACCCCTGTGAGGATTTCACAAATTCCTCAAACATAATGAATTGGTTCACAACCACGATTCTCATCTAACCCATCGACTGCTACAAGGGAAGATCCTCTTTATGTTGCTATTGAGCAGCCGTTGTACCTGATTTTACAGGCTAGAATCATCCTAGCAAGAATTTTCCCGATAAGGGTACCACTAAGCGTGTCATTATACATAAAATCTCGAGCACACGATCATATTCCTTTCTCCAATTTAGCATCGAACTCGAAGTCGGGAACGTCTTTGGTGCTATCGCTGCTATGAATTTAACCGTGTAACGAGGAAGCATCGAAGAATGAACCGGCCCATGTGGATTTCTCAAATGCTTGTGCTGGTCGTTGAGACTAGGTTGAGTAAGTCCTCGCATCACTTTCTGTTCTGAGTATGGTTGAAGCCTCAGATAGGCATAGAGGAATTCATCGGTATTGTGCTGTAACCTGTAGATCTATTTCTGGTCTGTTCCTGGTTTCAAATACTGTGACTTCATCTTGAGTGCTTGCCAGGTTGGTAACAGAATACCTTGTTCTGAGGAAATATATACTGTAGTGACGCATATCTACACTCTCTATCCGCACTCCGTATAGGGGACTGTCTCAATTTCAAAAGATTATCTGCATGATATGGACAGACAATGGCGACGAAATTGAAGTTTAGCCCCATTCCATGGAATCTCAGCGATCAATCACAGGGAGCCTCCAGCCTCGGCAAGTTGGAAAGCTGACAGCGCCATGCTATGAAGATCCCCGACCGCCCCAGCGGAATTCACATGTCTGCCCCGAACTCTCCGGGGAAGCTGATCATAAGCCCAGCTAAATAACGACCTAATAAGAAGAACAATATCCCCAGTCTTCTTCTCCTTCTATCTATCGTATCTGACCTGGTACTACCAACTATCCACCACTCCTTCACCCAACCCTCGAAAACCCAGAACAGTCATACTCATACAATCCATCACCATGTCTCTCAAGAACGGTACGTCATCCCCACACTACGCAACCAACCGACCAGAAGCGCAAGACCAACTAACAAACCCGCGAGGAAAACAACAGACGCCTTCCCCTCCTCCGCCGCCTTCGACGTGATCAACTCCGCCCTCCAGTCCGACGAAGCCGAGCGCAAAGACGCCATCAAGAACGCCAAGGCCATCGTCGCGTTTAACCTCAAGAACGCCTCCGGCCAGGAGGACAGCTGGTACCTCGATCTCAAGGACAAGGGCGTCGTCGGCAAGGGTGCTGCCCCCGCCGGTGGAAAGGCTGATGGTTCGTTTACATCCCTCACTTTCCAAGATCTGTGGAGTGGGTTGGACGGGGTTCAGGCTGACCAGTGAATTGAATGAACAGTGACTCTCTCCCTCTCCGACGCCGACTTCGCTTCCCTGGTTAGCGGCAAGGCGAATGCGCAGCGGCTGTTCATGGGCGGCAAGCTCAAGATCAAGGGAAATATCATGAAGGCGACGAAGATGGAGCCTGTGCTTAAGAAGGCGCAGAGCAAGGCTAAGCTATAGATACCCCTTCGTGCTCGCTTTTCTTGGGTCGCTTTTTTCTCGACGATGTATTTATTTGCTATATAACGAATACACATGTCCCTATCATTTTATTTGTATTCACATGAGGTTCAAGTGTCTGGAAGATGGACAATTGAAGGAAACGGCAGTATCAATCTGCAAGAAGAGAAAGTAGTCGAAGCTAAGAAGGGAAAGAATAGAAAGCTGCCGAATAGTACGACTACAAGGTGAAATAGGCAATCGTGTCCGCGTATGTAGCAAGATTATCGCTGTACACCGCCAGCGAGGCCCCGTCCTTCACAACCATGTTCATCGTTCCCACGGTGCTTAGAGCGTAGACGACCAGCCCGCTGGTGCTGCCCTCGATGCTAAAGATTTCGCTCTGGCATTTCCCGCCCGGATAGTCGGAGCAGGAGGTGCTATAGGAGTTGAAGAAACTGTAGAGCCCTGCACCGTAGATCAGCGTGTTCTGGCTGTTCAAGACCCGGAGACCGAGCGCATCGCAGTTCCCCGGTAGGCAGCTGCTGTAATCTGGGTCATTCAGAGCCGTGTTCCTGGGATATGGGCCATTGGCTGCGTTGGGATTAGGTTGGTAGTATCTGCTTTTGGTCAGTAAGATTTCAAAATTGAGACGACAGTTATTGACTCACGGTGTTTCTGTCTGGATGAAGCTTGTAACAACAGATTGGGAGCCCGAGAACTGATATTGATACAACGAGTGGTGCTCGACTCCGGTACCGTATCTGAACTTGAAGTCAGTTTGACGACAAAACCTGCGAGAGGACCTATGACTTACAGCCAAATGTTCTGTCCTTCTACCAGAAGCCCTCGGCCAGTGTAGACGGAGATCCGGGTATCGCCACCGTCGTCGAGGTCATGATCGGCTGTCCACAGCCAAACATTCTCCAGGTAGACGTTACTGGCACTGCTCGTGATATGCATCGACATGTAAGCCGCTTCGCAGGCTGCCGAGACAGCTGCGGATGTCGGGCACTGTACGGCTTGTAGGTTTGATCCCGCAAATCCCCCGATTCGTGTGTGAACGTCCCACATGCCTGAGCCTTGACTTGCCGCCAAGTTCCACTCGATAAGCACGGCACCAGGCGTCGAGCCTTGCGTGCTCACGATCATATCTGACCATTCGATGCTTCCAGTCTCGCCTGCCTTACCAACTTGGATCACCGGCACTGGCTGGTTGATGTTGGACCACCGACTCCCGCTAGCCATGATGACCGGATATGCTTCTCCTACAATCCGCGAGCCAGGAGGTATGTAGAGTGTGCCAGTCACCTTGTACACACCCTGATCGAAGTAGACAATTCGTCCTGAAGACACGGCTGTGGTAAGAGCAGATTGAATTGCGGCAGTGTCATCAGTAGACCCATCGCCCTTAGCTCCAGCACTTCGTACGCTCAGGAACGAAGAAGTCGAAGATGATTCATACTGCGGCTTTGACTTGGTGTAATATCTTCCACCAGACAGTAGAGCGCTGGGTCTTGTTGGCGCAGTAATCGCACCCTGAAAGTTGGTCGGTCCGGAAGGAGTATACTTGTGTCCCTGACCCCACGCAGCGATGGTCATGGCTCCCGCTGACCCGGCAAGGACTGTTCCACTTGGGCCCTTGACAGCCACGGGAACGTTGTTGAGGGCCACGTTCTCCAGAATCAAGCTACCATTGCTCTGGCTCGAGCTCTGCCAGGCTGTCTCAACGAATACAGGACAGTCCTCAATCGTACTGTCAAGTACAATGGCAGATCCAACTAGCTGAGCTCCAGGACCGCCGTTGGCAATTGAAAAGGCCGTGGTGCAATTTGTCAGAGTGAGTCCTTGGTATGTCCAGCCCCAGTCCCAAATTTGGGAGATACCAACAACGGCGTCTGAAATGTGCAGATTGCGCATGGTGAATTGCTGGTTTCCGATGTTGAACCCATACAAACCGCCTACGGTCGTAACGTCGGCTATAAAACCGCCAGATCCTTTGGGAAATCCTCAGCTGTGCCTCACTTCGTACGGAACGGATTTATGGCTTACCATTCTCAATGAAAAGACCTTGATGCTGCGTCCCCGCGCCAGAACTCATCCTGATCTGGACATTTTGAATGCTCGTAGCTTGCCCGGTAGGCCAATGAATACCGGTGGCAGCAGTGCCCGCAGGTATAGCAGTCAGATCGAGGATCAAATTGCGAATTTGCCTGAAGAAGACATTCGTCGATATCCAGCCCTGGTTACCGTCGCTCTGATATTGATCGCCGTCTATCAGACCAAGTCCTGTGAATCCTGGCGTCGCCTTGATGACAGGAAGCGAGTTTGGATTGCCAATAATCTGGGTAAAGTAGTAATCAATGATCGGCGAAGAGATTATATATGTGCCGGCTGGGAAGTAGACAATCGCAGGGGTTGTAGTTGAAGAGTCGCGACTCGCTGGGGAGAAACGACCACCATCGCTCATAGCTGCGTTGATCGCAGCAGTATCATCTGTTACACCATCACCTGGAGATTATAATCAGAACACGAACAGCCAGTATCGTTACGCGAGGACGCACCTTTAGCACCATAGTCCTTGACATTGCGAAAGACCTTGTATGAAGAAGGGTTTGGATTGAAGGCCGCGATACCCTGATGAGCGATGTTCGCAAGCCAGTATGCCGGATCATCAACCGCTGCAGCTGCGGCTGCAGCAAGGTTAGAAGAATGCCCTACAGCTGCCGCAACTGTCGGGGAGGCGCTGATCACTCCTGACGCGCTCGAGGATGGCGCAGCCGAGGGGCTTCGAATAGGGCTGCTGAAAAGCTGGGCGCGCACTCCGGCAAAGAGCCAAACAGACGTGGCAAGCCAATTGACATGCATTTTGGAATTTCCTGAAGCAACTCAGGTTGGTTGAGAGTAGGATGATGAAGAAGGGGCCATACATCACAATAGTCAGGGCACTTGTGTATTCTTATATGCAACGTACTGCATATGAAGTGTCACATTCTCAAATTCGACCGCTTCAGCACGACATAAAGTGGACGTGTCTTCAGGATACTCCCCCTAGCCAACCAAAGCATTCATATTCGTTTAGGTGTCAGCGGGCCTACCCTAAATCCCCACATCAGGCATGACATGATGGAGGGCTAGGGAAAAGCCGAACGCCACAGGCGGCGTCTATACGGACACGAGAAGATGGCATTGCCATATTGGGAGATATCTCCTTTCCAAAGCGGCATTCTTGCTGGGGAAAGCTGGGGGAGACGGCTGAAGAACAGGGCAGAGTGGACAGTGTGACATGGTTTGAACCCTGTCATCATGAGTGATTAGTCGAAGACACGTCTCCGAGGAAGCAACGCAATCAATTCGAGAAGCAAAATTGGGCATACGGTGTGACGGTGTGATATGCCATGGTGGTGCCTGAGTCGTCGTAGAGTTTCGCTCAGCCACTGAGGTGAGAGCGCACTCCGATCAGGGGGTTGATCCATCTCAAATTCTCAAATAGTCCTCGGTAGTTTGGCTGATCGGCATGAATCTTTGGTCCTGAATGAAAGCAATATTAATTTAAAGTAAATGTTAAACCGACTCCGACTTGTTTTGATTCGCTGTGCCATTCCTTTTTGAACCAAGCGGCAAGCCTCCGACACTATTCAAAAGCCACGTCCACCCCGTGCAGGAGATGTCAATGTGACTGAGAAGCCCCAGATGACTCGGCGAATGTGACTTGAAATCGGCTCCTGACCGTGATAGAGCAGCACTGTAGTATGCAGGAGGTCATCAGCCTAACTCCTTTAAGCAGAAGACTTGAATGCCGGAGTTTCAAACAGAGTAATAGCTAAATATTCAGAAGTGTCTTGGCTGCAGGTCCAGGGAGTCAGGGACAGTCGACTCACCGAAATGCGGAGTACCTGGACTATGCAGCAAGGAAGAGATGATCCACTCCACTCCGCAGTCTGCCAACATCGTACAGAGTAGATATCTGCTCAGCATAGCCCGTAGGTTCAACCTATTGAGCCTGAGAATTGAGACGAGCATTTAAGTAAATACTACACCGTAGATATATGGTACTTCATCTACACAGGCGTCACAACTGATTACTGTGTGCACCGTAAGTCTATAACAAAGCCGTCATACTGAAGAGTTTCTACCAATGCCGTTATGCCCTAATAGCAAAGCCGTTATATCAGAACCGGTATATTAATCTTCGGCATAAGGTTACCCCACGCAAGGTATATCATGGCAGGCAGATCCACACATCCCAGACGGCTCGTCAAATGTAACTTCTGTCAACTGAGAAATGTAACCACAGGCCACACTTGCATCGTACGATCATCGTTTCGGACCAAGCTTGAGGGCGCCAAAGTGGTCTCTCCTCCGTCGGCAAGTGTCCTTCATCTCCGAAGACTGCGGTGTTGAGCATCTAAAAGAAAACCAACGGTCAATAATCGGTTTCCGAAGTCGCTCGGTACGCCAGAAAACCTGCTTGAGCAAATGATGTCTACTAAGTTCACAGAACAACCCAGGCACTTCCCCCGCATTATGACTATGCACTTAATTGGAGCCTGCAAGCCACTGCTGGCAGGTTGGCTTCACTGTTGCAGGCTATCAGACTCCACAGTTTCAACCTGACGGCGGGTAGTTTCCCTCTTCACCGATGGTTGAATCGGGATATCCCTGTCCTCCGTAGGAGACGCGACGGTAATGATGATTCGTCATCAAATCCCGGAAACAGTTTGTATGGAAGGAGGAATCTCCGATGTGACAGGAGGCTGCGTGGATAAGTTGGACTCAGCAACGATGGATAGTCTCTTCTTCTAGGGGAAAGGATATCCCGTTGCTTGCATCAGCTTGCTCGACTGGAAACCCCGAGTCGAAGACTGAGTGACTATGGGAAAGTGCTTCGCGCTAGAAAATATTATAACCTAAGAGTCGTTCATGTTAAGAGAGCTTCCAAAGTCAATAATCTTCAAACAATCTTGACTATATATTCAGCATTTCAAGGTTCCATGACATTGCATTCTCAACCTCGTGTACGGCCATAGAAGCTTTCAAGATCCGCACTCATGGACGGGCAAATGTGTATCAGGTGATTTTCCACCAGACCTAGATTAGCGAGCACCTCTTTGGCAGAAAGACGTCAAATATGCTGCTGTTTCGACGTTGCTGTTTGTGCCATGGCAACCCGTGGAAAGGCATGTCGTAATGATATACAGTATCATTACATATGATACGCCTTTATGTAGGGAGTATCTTTACTTTCCTGCCAGGCCATAACGTAACAGCAATACGCCGTGATGTTGTGCGAAGATAAAGAAGGTCGTTATATGGCCCATAACCAATCAGAGCAGCAACAATGATGTACCATGTAGCTCTCTAGACAAAGGAATTATCTCCATATAATTCTCAATCTGCTGCATATTCTATCCTCATCGCCGGATGTCTCTTCCTGCTGGCTGTTATGTCATTTGTGCCAAGAACGTCACCCTGCATAATCACGTGATGCTGACTTTTTCTGCCAGCGAGAGGCTCTCATCACCGGCGAAAAAAGTCGCGAGCCGAGTAGCTGTTGAGGAAAAGCATATAGCTCTTACCCGCTCAGTCTCATCCTCTCCGGGGCAAAGAACATCGAAAAGAGGCACATACTTCGCGCCTAGCATTGGAGCGCCCCAAATTTACGCCTCTGGCCCCCATTACACCCTCATTCTATTTCTTCTTCCCAAGAGCCCCGTTGCCCAGGCTGCCTCTCGCGCATCGCGACCTGTGCAGAACCAGCGAAATCCGTATTGCTTTCTCTGGCCCACGGCTTGACGAAAAGTTTTCGATAAATGAACCGGAGTATTGGCGATTGATCCACACGAGAACGCGAATATACCGCCGCTTTTGCCGCTTGTGAAGACCGCCCATCAATATTCCTCTTCGCGTCTCTGCGCGCCGCTTTGCAGCAGTCGGAATCACTAAGTTGTGCTGTCTTCCTCGAGCGAGATTCCACGGGAAAACTCAATCGCTTTATTGCAGTTTTGCGCGATCGTCGAACCTGTCTCAGTTGATGAAGGATCACTTTCGCGAGTAGGAAACCAGGAAGGGGGTTGAGCTCACCTCGGAGACTCAATAAGCGATAGATGTCTAAAAGAGGAGCTGTTGGCCCTCAGGGCGATAAGGACTCCGATCTCTTTGCATTCAATATGGCGAGCACACCAGAAGAAAAGCCTCAGCGGGCCACTGCTGCGCAAATGGCACATAGAAAGTAAGTGCATGAGATTCATGGTTGCGATTAATTTTATGCATCTCCTGTCATCACTTGTAGTGTCTTTATTCACTGAATGGGAGAGCGGCCACCATCAATACCAGCCTCCCATATTGTTGTGCACATTGTGTTGCTCGAATTCCTTTTTTTCTTTGTCTTTGGTTTTTCCGTCTCCTCTCCTCTGTTACCTCAACCCTTTCCACCTGAAAAGTTCTCCAACTCGCAATCGTTGATAGCGAATTTTCGGCTTCTTGTTCTATATTCTCCAACTTGAATTTGTAACTGACAACATCGGCAGAATTAAGGATATTCGGAGACGACCCCGCCCGAGTACGACTACTCCAAGCGCTACTGGAGCTACATTTAGCCCTTTCAATTCTATCGATCCCAATACTGTCTCGGGCTCCCAGCCTGCGACGAACGGCTTCTCTTTTGGTCAATCTCAGTCTCACAGTTTCCCAGGAGCTAGTTCAAATCCAAGCCAGCCCACTCAGAACGGAGGATCACCGTTTGCCTTTGGCTCAGGAGGTGCTGGTTCATCGTCCTTTAGTTTCTCTACATCCTTTGGTGGATCAGGGTCATCGGGGAATCCCTTTGCGACTCTGAACACTCCTGCGCCCAGCCAACCGTCTGATAATACTGGGTTTTCGGGCTTCAAAGGCAGTATGTTCAACGTACCACCCGCCGGAAGCTCTGCTCCAGGCCAACCGTCTCTGCCTTCGGGCGGTCTCTTCGGAACTGGCTCGCAGCAGACCACTGCTCCTGGAGGCATATTTGGAAGCACTTCCACCAGTGCGCCTTCAAGCCAGCCCGTGACAACGGCACCCTCCACTGGCAGCATTTTCGGCCAGAATAACGCCACTAGCACTGCTCCATCTACAAGTCTGTTCGGCCAGTCCGCATCAGACAAGCCTTCTCCCTTTGGCCAATCCACAGCGTTCGGTAGCGATTCGATGCAGACATCTCCTGACCCAAAGGCCAATGCTGCCGTATCGAAGCCAGCTATCTTCGGAGGAAGTGCTTCTCAGCCTGCATTTGGCGCATCCACAGGCTTCGGCAGTCCAGCGGGAGGTTCCGTTTTTGGGGGTGCTACACCGGCGGCTCAACAAACTCCGTCTAAACCACTTTTTGGGACAAAGCCGACAGAGCAAGCTACTCCAACCTCGACGCCTCTCTTTGGTGCTACTTCCCAGCAACCCACAGCAGGCGCTACGGCACCTACGCCCGCATCGACCTCTGCTACGCCCACAGCAACGACAGCCACGACGCTGTTTGGTACTGCTTCGCCGGCCAAGCCTGCAACGCCGTTCCAGAATCCCTTCCAGACTTCAAACCTTTTCTTAGGCGCGCCCTCTCCATCAGCTACACCAAAGCCTGCAGAAGAGAAAGGACACGAAGAGAAGACAGGCGAGTCAGCCCTGCCCAAGACCGACTTCCAATTTTCCTCCTCCACAACCGGAGGCAATCTCTTCTCCAAGAGCGAAAGCGCTGCTACTGCGCCTTCAACTACATCATCAGCTGGCCTGTTCCAGGCACCGGCCACGGGCAGCCTGTTTGCGCCCAAGCCTGCTTCTGCAGAGACTGATAAGCCCGAGATTCCCAAGGCAAATCCTTTCAGCAGCCTTTTCGCTCCTAAACCATCCACTACCATCCAACCCACGCCAGAACAAAAGCCTGCACCTGCTGCTGCTCCGTTCGGCTCCCTCTTTTCTCCCAAGCCTAGCACACCTAATGAAGGTGCGAAAGCGGGAGAGCCAGCGAAACCGGTCGCGTCTACCCCGGCTATTTCGTCTGCAGCTCCTCCATCAGCCGGCCTTTTCGCGCCGCAGCCTTCGTCTCTCTCGACCACTGCTGCGGAGAGCAAAACCCAGACACCTGCGTCTCAAGGCGTTTTCAAAGTCAATGGTGCAGCACCCGCTCACCCAGCACCTTCAGCCAAGCCTCCCGCAGTCCAATTCGTCGAGAGCTTGCGGCCGACCAAATTGCCTACTGGACTGAGCGAACAACAGAAGAAAGATTTTGATCTTGTGTATAGTCTCCGCATGTTAAATGAATGCTTTCAACGCGAGATCGCTCGACTAAACCCTTCAACGGACGACTTTGACGCCACCATTCTCTTTTACATGCGCGTCCGTGAAGTGATTGGTGCGCCAACCGCACCGCGCTCATATAAGCGGAAGGCCGCCGACGATGAAAGTGCTGATCTTGAGACACAATCAGCGAAGAAAGTCAAGCCCTTCGGCACCACCGGTGTACCGGTGACCCCGAGCACCAACATCTCCTCACCTTCCCAGAAGATGAACATCGGACCAAGCTCCATTACAACAACACCGTCTAAGCTTTTTGATACAAAACAGACCGCACCAACTACCAATGGAAAAATGGCTGAGGAAAAGGCTGAAACTGGTGTTTCGGTCTCTCGGTCTGAGAACCGTTCCGATAGTGACTCTGCCACAGCGAGCATCTTCGCTCAGTCGTTCTCGAAATCGAAAGCTGATGATTCAGAGGCCACAAGTGCAGTGTCTCCCAGGCCAGCTACTCCAGAAACCAATAAGCCTTCTCTATTCTCTACCACCCCGACTGCGTCTCCGGCGAAGCCCCTATTTTCTTCATCGACTACCACCAAGGAGAATGCAACATCCAGCTCCATCTTCTCTCAACCTACCTCAAGCCCTGGGTTCACGTCATCGACAGCCAGTGTCGGCACGCCTGCCCAGAACCTGTTCGCCCCGAAGCCCACAGGTGATGGGAAAACTGAGGCGCCAGCCGCTCCCAAATTCGGTACCGGTACTGCGACGAACTTTTTCGCTCAGTTCAAATCCATTGCCGATAAGAGTGCTGAGAAGGAAAAGGAGAAGCGCAAAGCAGAGGATTTCGACTCCGAGGAAGAAGACGAAGCTGAATGGGAACGGAAAGACGCCGAACAGCAGCGCAAGAAACGCGAGGAGTTGGAGGCTCAGTCTAAAAAACGCGCCAAGTTTGTTCCAGGCAAGGGATTCGTCTTCGAAGACGAGAGCAGCGATACTACGGAACCCAAGAAACCAGCACAAACATCAGCTTCAACTGCCAGTTCATCCGTGTTTGAAGCAAAGCGAGACACTCCGGTCAAAGCGAACAATATCTTTGGTCATCTCTCTGCGACCCCATCAGAGGTAGAGGAGGATAATGATGCTGACGATACTGAAGAGGCGTCAGCTGCTGGGGAAGATGCTGATGAAGAGTCCAAAGAGTCCTCTCTGGTACCGGCCAGCGACCGCGACGGTAGTCGGGATGCGGAAACCAGCGAAGCAGACTCCAAAGCCGTTTCGGTCAGCGGAGCCGAGTTCTCTGCCAATGACAGCAGTGACGACGGCGATTTTTCTAAAGCTCTGACGAAGTCAAAACAAGCCTCGAGCGATGGTAAAAGTTTATTTGATCGGGTTCAGCCTAAGCGGCAAACCGACGAGGAACCAAAGAATCCCTTTTCTTCCCTCTTTAGCCCTTCGTCCAAGTTCTCTTCTTCCATGACGACTCCTGGGACGTCCACACCGAATCCGTTTGGCTCACCCAGTACCCCTGCGCCCGGCCAAGGTGATTCTGCCGAAACTAAGCCATCATCTAGTATCTTCAAGTCTTCGGTTAACACGAGCGGTGGTCTTTTTAATTCCGGACCGGCAAGTACTGGAACGAGCACGCCGTCAATCTTCGGCCAGAGCTCGTCGAAACCAGCAGGGGACAAGACCTGGAAGCCCGATTCCCCCATCAAATTCGCCGACTCGACTGCCACGGCACCTTCGACCACGTCGAAGCCTGATGCCGGGCCCACAGCTCAATCAACCGACTCCTCAAAGCCATTCTCTGCTCTCTTCGGCGCGCCAGCCGCCGGGGCGAAGGCGTCTGGCAGTGGACAGTCGGCGCTAGGGTTCTCCTTTGGTGGTCCGTCACAGCAGAGCTCTTCCTTCCTAGCTCCTTCCACCGTCACTTCCGCTACTGGCAGTCGCGCGTCTACTCCCGGAATGACCTCCGATACTGGCGCGGAGGAGTCTGGAGATGGAGAGGCTGCCGAATCTCTACCCCAGGTTGATCTTGCTCGCAGCAGAGCGGGCGAAGAGGACGAAGACATTGTGATAGAGACTCGGGCGCGAGCATTGAAGATCAAGCCTGGCGCAGGCTGGGAAAGCCAGGGTGTCGGTTATCTCCGTGTTCTGAAAAATCGCAACACTTCTCGCTCTCGCATCATCCTGAGAGCCGACCCAAGTGGCAAGGTTGTCCTGAACGCAGCCTTGTTGAAGGATATTAAGTACACCATTAACGCAAACAGTGTGCAGTTCCTGGTTCCCCAGGCTGAAGGCGCCCCGGAACAATGGGCTGTTAGAGTGAAAGGAAAGGAGGAAGCTGAGCGTTTGCATTCTGCAATTGAAGAGTCTAAGGCGTAAGCACAAGCTGTGTTTACATATCACGAATCGGCGTTGTACATTTGGTCTATCTCGAACACTTTCGCGGCTTTTCTTACGACAGTTTACACCGATTCCGTCCGGCCATAACCGTGACTCCATGGTTTATGCGGACGGGTCTGAAAGCCGATGCTTGTATTTTTCTTCCGCCAAGGAATCATGGTTGCCATGCGATTTCGTTCATCGGACTAACCTACTTTGTATCTGCGACGGTCATGTCAAATTTGTCTTTTCTACCTGGGTGCCGTATTTTGTCCATTCTTTCTCCTGTCTTTTTGAACCATGAGCACTAGAAGTTGGCGTCATTTTGTTGAACCATTTTTGCATTCCATATTCTTCCTGCCGCCCATTTCCCCAAATTCAGATCATGGCCTTGTGTGTAACTATTTCGCATTTCAATTACACTGCGTCATCAGCATCATGTTATTATCTATGGAACAAGACAGGCGCCTTAGCATAGCGTGTGGGTTCGAACCATTGCAATGCACCCTCCATCTAACATTTCATTCATACCTTATCTTTATTGGATTCCCTGGCGTTGTTTCTTTGGCATGGCGCACATTGAGGTGTGAGTCCAATTATAGTTGATGGAGAGTCTGAATCTCAGTCAAGTCATCTCGACGATAGAGTCTCGTATACATGCCGTCATCCCAACCGCATATATTGACAATCAGGAATCAGTATCATTCTCCCCACGAGAATAATGTCTTTTTCCCATCACTGCTCTGAGCCAAGAATACCACAAGGCCTCAAAGCCCTTCAGAGGCAGCCACGGTTGAATAATTTCACACCAAGGATTGACTTAATCAGTTAATTCATCCAATACCTGCTTATCCTTAGGTAGAGAGCTTCGGTATCCCTAAATGAGTGATCAACGAAGCCTTACCTTGGTTTCTTTCACTGGACCCTACCTTACTTGTGTCGCTGTCAGAAATCCATGCTCTTCTCAACTTGCTCTCCCTTTCAACCCTTCCTCTCCTGCCCTCTTTTAAAGATCTTACCGGTCATCAAAAACCTCTGAACCTTGTACCGCAAGGCTGACAGATCTATCACTATTCTGAGCCCTGGCCAGCCTTCAGTATAACAATAACTGACTCCAGAAGCCCCAAAGACTTGATCTTCGAAGCAAAGCCAAAATGGAAGAACAGACCCAGCATAGCATTCCCTTCACTAAGTTCATACACCATTCAGCACGCGGATTCCAAACTTGGCAAGAGCTTTGCAAACACATCCGAAGACAGGTTCTCCAAGCACAATCTTCAACTGAAATTGCCTACACTTCGGTTTCCCCCGACTGGGGTCCAGTGATTGTCGACTCGCTGGACGAGGACGGCGACGTCGAACGCTTGAACGCCGCGTAAGTGAACACTGCCAATCGTCCCTATATTCCTTGCTGATGATGCTCGGGCTCAGCCTCAACTACAACTCTGTTACACAGACCTTGCTAGCCAAAGTTGTATATACCCGTCTCTTTGCATGTCATTTTAACTGGATGCTTATCCAGGAACACGACTGGCTCAGGCAAAATTTTGTCAGGGATGGTCACCTCGATCTTCTCATAGTATCGGCAAACGCTAGTCAGTCTTCAGCTATGGACTGTATGGTATATGATATGGCTAACTCTGGGTAGCGTATGGGCGATTCGAGGCCCCGTATTCGGGTTCGAGGAAGGTACCCACCTTCTGCATGATCCCAGACAATCGATACCACCCCTCATTGGTAATCGAATGCGGAGATTCCGAGTCCAGAGAGCGACTCCTAGAAGATATGAGACTATGGCTTATCGGTGCCCGTCCATTTGTCAAGGTCGTTGTGATAATTATGTATGCTCGCACAGGCAACACCAATCAAGTGGAAGGCAGAGCTGAACTCTACGTTCGAGACGCAAATGGCTACCCAATCCTCCAGCAAGAAGCAGTACGTTGTCTTCCCTTACTATTGCTGACCGGGGCTCACCAGAATAATAGACCATCTTTCCTGCGACCCAGTCTGAGTGCTCACTTGGGATCACTGCTGGAGATCTCTTCGGCCCGGTGCTCCCCCAAGGTCTGCAAGCCGACACAGTTCTCCCCTTGAGCATCGATAACCTTCGAAAGGAGGCTCGTGATGCAATGGTGCACATGGACTTGGCCCCTGCCACTTAGCGCAGGAACATGCTGGCTTAGAGTAGAAAGGACTAGATGATCGCTGAGTATTAGGGTTCTACAGAGATTTTGCTGTTTCGCTCGCATTACCAAATCAATATCTCACGAATCTCAAACGGGTGATGATACAACGACACCCCGTTACCCAAATGGCAAAGACATTTAATGGGAACGAACTACTCGCGATACGATTCTTTCAAGCAAGAGGGTATAAGGAATTCAATTAAAGGATCTCCTGGTAGCCACGTCGACTATAGTTCCTCTGTAGTCTCGCATCAATCGATACAACCCTACCCGATAAGTCCCACATGATGATATTTCACTCCGTACTCCCGAGCCTGAAAGAGAAGCACCGATGACCGAAGCTACAGCGGAAGGAAAGAAATTTTCATTTCATCGAATTTTTTTTATTGTTCCAAGTCAACCGTAACCCAAGACCCAGGCAGGAAGCGATCCATTTATTCGTCAACAACAGCGGTGTGCAGACCCTTGGCGTCCTTGACGTTGACGGCCTGGACGTAGGAGTAGAGTCTCTCCTTGGCGCCCTCCTCGTCGTTACGCTTGCGGGAGATGCGGACACGGAGGCGGAAGGGAACGCCCTTGACACCGGCTTCCCAGACCTTCTTGTTCAGCTGGGGGTCGAGGCGGACATCCTTGGTGCCCTGATCACGAACGTGAGTGGTTAGCTGTATTCAATCTCGTCACTTCCCGGGAAAAGAAACTTACCATAGCCCGCTCAGCGAAGGCGCGGATCTCCTTGATAGCACGAGGAGCGCGCTTCTTGAAAGTAACACCGTGCATCTATAGATCGAGCAAAAAAAGGAGAAATTAGTCTTCCGCCCAAATGCCATCTGGTAGAGTGAATCTGCGAAGATGCTATTTGCGGCCATAGAGGTGGACTTCATCAAACTATTTCTTCTTTTTTTGTGGTCGTGTGTATTGTGTATGTTCCTCCTCTTTCCTTGGGTTTCGGATTCCAATTCCCAAGACGAAAAATCTCGCACAAGCCCTTCTGCAGCGGATTCCTCCTCACACACAAGGTTGTTTCGAGATGTTCCCACACGTTGTTCTCCGTCCATGCCTCAGGGTGTTTGGTTCCGCAAGGTCGCAAAGAGTCGGTCGATTTATTGACCACGAGATTGTGTGCAAAGGAAAATAAAAGCAAAGGTCCAGCGTCTTCAACGTACTCTCTTGTGCATGTTGATGGTGTACTCGCGGGTGACAACGTCGGCGATGGCCGAACGAGTCTTCTTGCCGGTGGTCTTGACGGTGCTGGACATTTCTGGAACAGTACGAAAAAAATGTCAGTAATCCTCAGTTCTGGGGAAAGAGAACTGCGCGACACAGAGATTGCGGAATTGATACTGACTGAATGGGCTGACACAGAACGTCGGCTGTCGTTGGCGATGTGGTCGACTGTCAAAGGAATTGGGATTTTCAGATGTCCTTTTTTTGGTGGTCGAAATTCAGTGTGGCTCGCTTATCGTGTGCCAGCACCCTGATTGGGTAGTTATTGTCACGTGATAATACACCCTCCGCCGCTAATCGAGACTGTCCTGAGGCTACACTAATGGCTCTTCATAGATGTTGTACTCGGAATAGGTAGTATTTATTGAATTGACGTCTATTGGTCATAAGTCATCTATCACTAGCCCTCTTGTTTCCTCCTCCCAGAACGCAACACCAAATGTATCCTATAAGCGTGTCATTTCTCGGCGCTCACATCAGGGTATAGGTCAAAACGTCGCTGAGAATAGACGGGGATGCCCTTTCGAGTGTTCTGAATAGACTCGTTATCCAGGTCTGCGTAGACAATCGTTTCCGTCTCGGCTGCTTCTGCCAGGATCTCCGCATTAGGATTGACGATCAGACTGTGGCCCCAAGCGTGGTATGTTGCGTTCGTATCACGAGCCGGGCTGCACAAGCCAACATAGATCTGGTTGTCAACCGCACGAGCGCGACCAAGGAGGGCCCAATGAAGAGGGCCTGTGGTCATATTGAAGGCGCCAGGGTAGATCAGCGCGAAAGCTCCCTTGCGCGCTGCGATCATTGCCGACTCCGGGAAACGGATATCGTAGCAGATGGCGAGACCGATCTTGCCATATTCTGGGAGATCGACGAGGGTCAACTGGTTTCCAGGCGAGAGTACTTCGCTTTCCTTGAACGTAATCTTCCCGGGGATGTCAATGTCGAATAGGTGCGTCTTGCGGTGTGTGCCAATGAGAGAACCTGTCGGCGAGAACACAAGGGAAGTGTTGTAATACTTCTTTGTCGAAGTGTCCAGCTCGGGTATACTGCCTCCTACCAGGTATGCCTGGGCCTCCGCAGCGATGGCCGACAGAGCATGGTATGAGGGGGATTGTTCTTTCGTGGGAGGCGACGGGAGTAGTGTCTCCGCATACGAAGGGAAATATTGTGTTCCATACGGCGAGTTGAAGCATTCAGGGAGAACGATAAGCTTCGCGCCTGCTTTTGCAGCCTCAAGGACCTTGGTCCTTGCGTGAGAGAGATTAACGGCTTTGTCCGCCCCTATGACCGAGTAGAATGTTAGTACGGGATGGACCTAGAGATCATGGATGCTTGGAAGATCGTAGCATACCTGAAGCCAGCTGCACCAAGGCTAACTTAAGAGGTTGTTTCAAAAGGGCAGCCATCCTGACAAATGCAACGATTGTTGGGAAGTTGAGGTTATCAGTGGTTGCACCGATGCGGGGAACTTCCTAATAAATGGGGTCGAAGTGGCGGCCGATTCCCGTGCTTTATCAGTGTCGCTTTCGAGGGTTCCCAGAGTTCAAGCTTTCTCTAACCGACAACCGCTACATCTATTGCATTTCCTACGATTGGTATGGTGATTCTGGCAAGATGAAGAGCATCAGTTTGTACCGTTGGCTTCCAATTGTGGCCGATGACTGTCTTGCATCTGTTCCCTTGCATCCTGCCCGTCGGTTGCTGTCGGGGAGCAGTCTATATGCGGACATCGATACCGGTGCATAGCAGCAGAGGCATGATGTAATGCTGCTTGCAATTCGACTCAACGGAGCTGCTTCCTATCAAGAGATTTGAGTGCTCTGTTTATATTGATCAAGAGTTGGACGGTCTTCTCCTTGTTCTGAGGACTGTGCTAGATGTTCGGTCTGGCCTTTCGGCTCCCTGCAATACGAGACACGGCACAATTATTCTATGACGAAAATGACTGCTCCGTACGAAGGTCGTTGTTTTCTACGACGATGACGCCTGTTTGCATAGTTCTACCGTTTGTCTATGAAAGTGAGACCTTCCCTGATCGTGAAAAGCAATGGCTCGGTTACATACGGCAATTAGGGTCCTGCCCAACAATGAAGATCATGAAGTTCTTCAGGCCATTTCAAGCCGCTCGACAGTTCGACTTGTCCGGAACCAGGATAGTCGCAGGGGGTCTGATACTAGCCATCCCGGCAAAAAGAAATGATGTTTCTGCGGTGAAATCGTGAAACAGGTTCTACTAGCCGGTTATCCGTTCTCGCTGTGATATGAGACCCGACCCAGTTTAATGATCGACCGTTGACAAAATGGGTTCTTTCTCCGGAGAAGGGTGTCATTACTCTTCAATGATATATGAGCGGGCGCAATTCCTCCATCCCGTGTACGGACAGTCAATGTCGTAGTTGGCCCAGACGGCTTCATCATGGAGATTCCACTCAATCTATCTTCAGTCTGCAAGTCTAGACGAGTGACTTCTTCAGAACATGAGATGAATTGGACGTTCATGCAGTTGGTACTAACTGCTGGTTGTGTGAAGCCGTTGAGGATCACAAATGGCATATGCAGGTCTCCTTGAGCCTTGCAGATATGTCTGTAGATCGCATAATATATCGACCTTCCACGCTTCAATTAATCCTTCAAAATGGATTCATCACAGATGAGGAATCACTTCAATATATTGAATGCTGCGCGACGACTATCGCCATAGTGTAACTTGTGTGTCGATATCAGTTCCGAAGTATCGGACCTAACGAGAAACGACTACTCAAACCAGAAAGGCGGAGCATCCACAGGCCTGTCATACTCATTATCATCCGTCAATGCCTGTAGTCTAGGGGAGAGACTAACGAGCGGGATAACTTGAGACGAGAAGGAGAGGCGAATAGCAATCCGGCTGAGTCAGCGAGTCTGGCCCCTGAGGCATCAAGTGCACGGAGAACTATCTGGCTTTTCCTGTGTCGATTCCAATTTAGATACAAAGTGTTCAGAAATAAATATGGAGAAAAAGGGGCAAAGGTGACTCCCTTATCATCTCCTGTGTCTCTGCTTCCCATTATTCTTTTCTTTGGTCCTTGATTATTGAACCATGGATAGCCGGAGGGTGCCCTTCTTCTGCCCACCAACCATCAGTCTGTGATTCTCCTCCCGCCGGTGAGACAGCGTCACAGCCGCCCACTGATTCCCCACGGCCTTCGCCTATTCCGTTCAGTTTGCCCCAGGGTTCGGATGTTCTGTGGGTTTAAGGCCTTAAGCAGCCTTAAGCGCCCCATTATTCTTTTCTCATTTTTACTGTCTAGCGTGGTTTTTCTTTTTCCTGCAGCACAGCGGAACGGGAAAAGTCCGAAGTGGCCAATCTTGGTAGTGTCTAGGCTCTCTAATAAGTCGCCCGAGACGCGCTGCCGCCTGATACTTCAATTCTGGTGATTTTCAGCACTCATTGCCATCAGATGATCTAGGCATATACAAAACCAACAGGCCATTACACAACGCTCGTTACAGTCGGTTCGAAGGTTAAACACGGCGTCATGTTCGAGGACTTTTCCTTCTCTTCACCGTCGTCCACCAGACCTCCGCGGCTGGCGTTCGACGGGGACGATCGACTCATGATTGATGGTGATAGTTCTATGATCTCGCCATTGTCCTCTCGGTGCCCCTCGCCTAGATCGACGTCGTCGCACAAATTTCCTCGGAGTTTGCACCGCTCGCGATCATCACACTTTCGCTCCCCTCAGCCGCCTACCTCTGTGCCGTTCTCCGCTTACGACGGCAAAAGACTTTCCATCAGCACATTGACAAGGAAGCTCCATGAGCATACTATCCAGAGTCAATCTCAGGAGGAGAGAGTTGACGACGTACCCACCTCGCCGTCAACGCCCCGGTCGGTGTCCGATATGGGGTCGGTATCTGGGCAATTTCATGGGTACTTCCTGACGCCTCCCGACACGGACCATGACGACGAGGGATACTGTGACTCGGCGTCGATGGCCTCTCTCTCACCCTCATTGTCACCTCATCAGCAATCTCCATTTCTGGGAGCCCTGTCCGGCCCGCTGGACTTGACGTCGCAGGGTGGGGCTCTCGAAAGCCTGTTGAACAGTGGACTTGATACTACGATGAACATCCGGGCACATCGACAACATATCTCCCGCCTGCAATGCAATCCTTCGGACGTCGAAGCCATTAGACGGGCTCTTATATCTGAAGATGAGCCGTCGGAGTTCGACCGATCCAACGAAGACGACTGTCACCCAAGCTCACTCCCTCCGCAGCTGTCACCCCGTAGGCGGGCTGTCACGCTCAGCCGGAGCCGTTACCGACCGATCACCGCCACTTCTGGCCTTTCTGATACATCAGGAGTTGAGCATCGGGACCGGCGGAAAAGCACTGCTGGCGTCCCCTCATCTCACCGTATCGAAAAGAGCTATTGCTTGTCATCGAGCCGGGATTACCGCAAGAAAAGCGATCAAGGCTTGAGAAGGAAGAGTCTGGTCAGCGCTGCATTGGCTTCTGTGGTTGAAAAGGCACCGCAGTCGACTTGATCTACTGGGATCTACTGCCCCTTGAGAGACTTTTCTTTCAATTGTACATATTGAGATAGATACCCGGCCTGTATATACTTCGTCAGAGCGTATCAACTTGTTCATTTCACGTCCGCGTATACGTCACTCTCGTCCTAATCCTCTCGCAACCCAACCAACCGTCGAGACTCCTCCCACAATCTCTCCGCGCTCTCCTGATCCCAAATATGCATCGCATACCCAGGATCAATCGTCCGAAACCCCGGCCTCGCCGGCCCCGACTCCCTACAATCCTCCAAATACTTCCCGCCTTTCCCCTCCCACTCCCTCCCCACAGCCGCCACCACAACCGTCGCAGCCCCCTGCTCCTCCGTCTTCAGATACGGCCTCATCCCAGGCTTCCGCCACTCCTCCATCACCCCATCATCCACAAACTTCTGCAACCCCGTGAAAATCAGCCCCGGGTGCACACTAAGCCCATGCAGCCCCCGCCGCGCAAACCGCCTCTCAATCTCATTCATCATATAGATATTCGCCGTCTTGCTCTGCGCATACGCCAGCGCGCCGTCATATTTCTCTATCTCAAACTGCAGATCCCCAAACCGAACTCCGCTCTTCCGGTGCGCGGACGACGTCACCCCCACCACGCGCGAGTGGAATTGTGGTGTCGCAGACCGCAAAAGGATGGGTTTAAGGAGCTCGAAGAGCAGGAAATGGCCGAGGTGGTTCGTTCCGAATTGGGTCTCGAAGCCGTTTTCTGTGCGGCCCTCTGGTGTGGCCATTACACCGCCGTTGTTGATTAGGATGTTGAGCTTGTCGCTTTGTGAGAGGAAGGAGGTTACTGCTTGCCGGATACTGGACAGGCTGGCGAGGTCCATGTGGAGGAGGCGAATCTCCCCTTGTGAGGAGGGTTTGCTGTCTTCGACGGAGGCGGGGGTAGAGTCAGACGCAGGGGCGAGGAGATCGGCCAGCACGTGTCGGGCTTTGGGGATGTCGCGAACGGCGAGGAAGAGGGTTGCGTTTGTTTTGGAGAGGGCGCGGGCGGTTGCGGCGCCGAGGCCGGAGGAGCAGCCTGTGATTAGGATAACTTTGTCCGGGAGGGCGTGGGTGAGGTTTTCGGACTCGATGATGGAGAGGGCCGTTGGGTGGTTTTCCATGTTTTGGGTCAGTACAGTGTTTGCTTCGAGCTGAGGATGGCGACTGTGAATGACTGAGGTTTTCTATGGGTATACGGTATATCATGAACCAACCCAGGGTTTGGTAACTACGTCAGAATGGCGACGCTTGCATGACCTCCCTAACTGACTCGAGGTGCACCTTACCACACCGGAGGATGAAGAGATTAAAGTATATACCAGGCTAATCTATCGCAATGAAACAGAAACCAGCTCCAGGCTGTCATATAGGAACCCACTCACACCGCGGTGTCTCGGACAGAACACACTGTTGACCCTATCATCGAAAGAACCGGCCCCTCCGTAGGGAACGCGCAAAGCTGCGTAACTTTCTAAACGGATTGCGCTTCCCGCGCTTCTTCCGATGTGATGAAGACCTCTCGGTCGGTTCGCTCCGCTGCATCTCGTCATACTTCATCGCGATAATATCGTCCGTGGTGCTCGTCCATCCTGCCCCGTCGTAGGAGGCTAGAACCGAATACCCCGGCTCCCCAAGTTCACTTCCGTATGATTGCGCTGTCATCGGCCTGGACTGCGGAGGCGAGCTCCACTTGTGAGATTGCGGGATATCGGTCTCATTTCCCTCTAATCGTTCGGAGATGGACGGCATAGGATGATACGGTATGTCACCGATGAGTTCGTAGTGGGCTTTTTCTTCGTCAGCGTCGGAGATGTAAAGGTCGTGAGCCTGGTTGTGGTCATGATTTGCTTGAACGGTCTCGTCGTGCTCCAAGATCAAGGTCTCGCCCTGAGGCCGTGTTGCGTTGAACGAGTCCCGCTGGTCGTCTATGATGGACGAATTATCGACGTCTTCAATGTATGAGACTATGCGGGCGAATTTCAACGATTCATGCGGATTAAGTATTTCGAACGAGGTCCCCTGATGCTCGACTGTGGCGGTTGGGCGTCGCAGTTCCAGCAGCATCGAATCCGAGCGTGCTTTGGTATGTCTGGGAGTGAATGTTTGCTCCTGTGACTCTGGCTCAGGGAACCGGGCGAGCCTAGCTCGGAAAGTCTCCTACACCTTGTCAGCTCAGTTAACCGTGTGGTTTCGGCAAACTCACCAGCAATTGATGCGGACTATGCACGGGACTCGGACGGAGCGTTTGCTCTGAAGTGTTGATATCTAAGAAACTGGATGGGAAGGAAACTGTATCCATTAGCATACCCTCACACGGCGTGACAGCGGATTAACACCCACGGAGTGATTCGTCAAGCCCAGGCCCATTCTCACCTCGGTAGGAGACAGGACTGGGCGTATATGACGGAGACAGCGGAGGCGGGCTTGACGCCGCAGACGATACTGAAAACGAACACAATGGAGGCGTCAAGCTCGTTTGGCTTTTGTTCAGATCCAGGGCTGCGTTTTTACGCCGTAGGGTCTTCCCTCCGTTGCGATTGAGGGCGATGAAGCCGTCATCCTGCGTAAGAAACCTCCGGTAGTGGTGCAGGGATAATGCTCCCGGATATCCCGGCTTCGGCGTTGCGGCGTCGAAGGCGGTCGATGAAAAAGAAGGAGAGTCCAGAGATGGAGATGTGAGAGACTGTTTTAGTGGGGGGTGAAGCTGGAGAGGTTCATGGCAGCCGGTTTGCCAAATTTGGTGGTCATGATCGAGATCCATGATAGCTTATCTTTTGAAGACGGAGAGATATGTTGCTCCCGCTGAAAAGGAAAACACCTTAGATATAAAGGAGCGATAATAGAGAGCCTGTCAATTGAACCAGGCCACTGTCTGACGGCATTGAAGGTACAAGTACAGGTGCATGAGGGCAGGACATATTCCGACCGTTAGGGCCATGAATCAGACAAAGAAACAGACATTATGATTCTGACCTTCCGCAGTCAGACTATAAACAAAAAAAGGAGAGAAGAAGAAAGGGGGACGAAGAGGTTGTAAAAGATAAAAAAGAAGAGACAGATGGGCCCTGGACAAAAAAAGAAACAAGCAAACGTCACATTGCCAGGCCAAAATCAATAAATCATGGAATTAAAAATAACCAGCATGTATTGATTTTCTTTCGGCATCAAGGGAGCCCTGTCGCTGCTTCTGGGCGCCACATAGAAGGATTAAGTCCACTCACTTGGAATAATGAACACGCACTATGCAGTGGCCCCTTTAAATATTTAGATGGATTCGATATCGATATTAACTTACAGTGGAGAGAATGACAGCTATGCCTGTTGCGCTCAAAGAGTGTTTTTTACTACAGCTGCTACTGCTAAAGACCACCTGACTTACCAGTGTTTGCCCCTGATCATATTGCAAAGGAGGATTTATGGGATGAGCAGATTAGAACATCACTCCTGGATTCAATGATGGACATCCTTCAAAAGAGGCCGACCTGACTACTTTCTCTTAAAGGATGCTGTCATTGATGTGGATGAAGTAATAGAGCTTGAGAGTGCCAGAAGTATGTAACTACTTTAGAACTACATGGCTCACAGCCTCATGTCTGCATCCCATGGCAGAAATCGAAGAGCTAGGCACCTCCATTATAGAATCATGCACGCCACACTATTATCCAACTCAGTAACCACACCAAGGATATCACAATAAAGATATTTGTCAATGGATGCCCTCTGGTCTTCAGTGATGACAGTTTGATGGGGCAAGCATTTCAATCCCTTGCTCCGATCATGCCACTAATGTTTCATCACCAAAGTGGTTTCAGCTGATTCTATACAAATTAGCCACTTAGTGTTGAAGGATTCATACCTACCGTACTTAGCCAGAAACACCACAAGAATGATAACAGTAAGACATGCATCTTCAGGTACGGTGTTATAGGATGACATCCATTTTGCAAATATGTTGATTTGTCATTGGTTTGGGACACAAAGGAGTTGATTGAGGTGGGTATGCTGCCTAGTACTTAGTGCCATGTCCCTATCAGCCAGACTTGGGGGACTGAGCTTACTGAGGTTGATCCAGCATGCCATGGCGTAGTCTCCATAGTATGTGGACTGTATTCTCCATACTGGGGAGAGCGAGTGAGCTCCCTATAGTTTGCATCTAGGTTAGAAGGCCATTCTGATAGGAGAACGTTGACGGGTAAGACTCAGAGAATCAGAGTAATAGCAGATGATACTAATCGAGATAAATGAATACGAACAGCGGCACTATGACAATAACCCTATTAATTTGCCTGAAGACAAAAGGCTATAATAGTATAGCCTCATGTCTGCACGCACTCAATCAATCCACGCACAACTCAAAGAGACTCTCAATAGCTAAAGCGGCACCACATCAGGCTGAATATACGTTAGAGAGCATCAACATTCGAAAAGGCTAGCGCACATGCAACCCAAAACGAACTCGACCTCGAACTCGCCCGCATCCAATCGCCAGCCTCAAACCCACCCAAAACAACGATGACCAGTCATCTATAATCCTCCCCATCAACCGTCATCCACTGGAGTTCACAACTTCAAATGAACGATCATCTCACCCATCACAGAATCACAGTTCACAGTTCCACACCACCTAGTTGGGAACTTGGGCACCAGGAAACGTGGCCCCAATGCCGAAGCAGAATCAACCACACCCTCGTCACACCAGATGACCCATCAATTTTTCTTTTCGATGACGATCCACTTGGCCCTCGATTAACGGCGATCGATCACTGGTCTTTCTGGTAGTGCTACTGCCAGGAACTGCAAGCCATCTTTGTTTCAGTTTGGGCTTGCGAGCACCCACTAACGAAGAGAGTTAAGCCTCCTGGTAGGGATCTGGAGGCGAATCTCGTTTCTGGGGGTTTTATTCGTCGCTGGCCCTTGCAGTAGCCTTTCACTGCGGGCCCTGGCTTACTACAGACTTTTTCAATAGGAAGACATCGACAATGATGACGATATTATTGTCTGATATCAACTTGAAAGGGTGTGGCAGCGGCACATGTCAAACGGCCCAGGAGAGGAATTCGTTGGGCTGAGCAGACTACGCTGACACTCTGGCATTGCTGTGTCTGTGTAACTTTGGAAGGCGAATAAAGGAGGGCTTTGGTTCTTTTCTAAGAATCTACCGGATTGTTAAAACAGGCAGCCCACATCTACAGAACCTATCCTCTTCATTACAGAACCCTCTCTGCTGGGACAGCATGGAGCAATCTCATTCCAGTTTATTTGAAGATTAGCAAGTCGCTGAGTTCATCATATGCAAGGCTAGTAGACAAAAATCCCAACACCAATCTATGCTTCGACGGGAATATGAACAAAGTCGTGAACGTTTCTCAAGTCATTCATCATCGTAGACAGCATTGATCTCAAAAGGCTCGCCTGTCAGCTAATCAATATGTACCGGGAACAGTCTGGAAATGGGGGATATAGAGCAGAAAAAAAGTAACAATCGTAGCATATCGTCATAAACGAGTCGTCTGAGATATGAGCAATGGAAATAAGGTATCATCTTGGTCAAAATAGCACAAGGTAAGGTCAAACTGCCCAACATGGTCGACAATCTTAATGGCGTTTATATTTCTAAGCAGGAGAGTCAGCAAGCAAACTTGAGAGACATAGTTCACCACGACACTTACATCTTCTATCTTTCGGCGATTGCTCGGGTCCAAAGTGTTTCCAGCGCCGAGGAGCGTCTGCCCAACGGCCTTAGAGACTCCAATCGCTGGTCGAAGGATGACGGTTGGAGCGCGTTTAAAAACAGCCCTAGCGGCAGCTTTCGCGCTACCACTCTCCACGATTTCGCCAGGAACAGCAACAATGGCATCCCGTGCGAGAAGCAAGTCCCTTTCCAAGCCGCGGAAGGCACCCCGAAGACCTTGTACCACACCCACCGGTTGATCCGCATAGGGCGAGATCTTGTTCGCCTCCTCTTCGTCAATCATGTCTTCTTCGGAGCCCAGTGTTGACGCGGTCGGTGTGGTTAGCATCTCCTCAGCTCCTTGCAAGACCGTTTGAGTGCCAATGGCAAGCTTGGCACCAAGCTTCACGAGTTCATTGGAAGTGGTCTTGGCAAAAGCGAGCGCCCCTTTCTGGATGCTTCGGACGATCCGGCCGTCCTTGCGATACTCTCGCATAGGAACCACGACGAGGTCTTTAACACCGCCTCCCACGTTGACTAGAGATCTGATGGGAGCCAGGCCAGCAAGGACACCCGGAAGTTGGTTTCTCTTGATGTCTGGCATCCATATGTCATTGAGTGTCTGACCCAGTTTATCAAAGCCGGACACTCCATAAATGATGACATGCCGCATGACCATATCCGCGCCATCAAGGACAAAGAAGTTCATGAACTCAGTCGTTCGGCCTGATCTGAGCCCGGCATAATCTACGCGCTTGGGCTTAAAGTCAAGTTTGACAGGCACGGCGTTAACTTCCACTCGTTGCAAGAATGGAATGTCGGCTGGTGAACTCGGCGTAGGTGCAGAGTCATCCCTGAACTCAAAGAATCGGCAGATGAAGTCCAGCGCATCCTGGTCTACGTGCAGTCTCAGGGGGAGAAGAGTTGCCTGTAAAGTGTTAACACAGCTGCTCAGATTACATAACGTGGGTAACAAAGTGCTGACCTTGAGAACAAGCTCGGACGCTGCCAGCTCTGGAACAGGCCGCACAGTCAACATTTCCAAATGAACCATACTGGCCCCACTTTCCCTCTCGCCTGCCTCATGCATATAGGTGGCGAACTTCTTCCATGTCGACGTAGGAACGTGGTCGAAGATCTCCAGGTCGTTCACACGCACGTCGAGCGAACTCTGCGTCTCTTCAGTGCCAGGAGGGAAGACGACGAAATCCGCGCAAATGCCTTTCAGCTCAAACGTCATCTTGTGGTATTTACTCCTAGACAATTTCAATCTCCTTCCTCTATACGAAGGCGACTGGCTTTGACGCGCGGTGGCCCCAGTGATAGTTGTAGATGTCGCATAGCTGCCTGTCTCGCTGGCAAGATCGTCAATGTTACGATTGATATCGTTGCGAAGCTCTCGAGGATCCTTGTTCGCAGGTATTCCAATATATATGGAGTTGAACAGACAGTCGCCGATAACCGATTCCTCTTCTTCCTCGAAACCTGGTGAGGCCCGACTTCCAGCTCGGGCGCGCCGCTCCGTGGCTTTCTTCTCCACGTCCTTCACAGCTTTCGAAATAGTATCTCTGGTTCGCTGCCAGTCATATCCATCGAACAGATTCCAGATAACATGAGCATCCCGGACTCGGATCCGCAGCGGACTTTTACGGATCTTTGAGTCGTCGGTTAACCCATATGTGTTCTGGGTCGAATCCCAACGATGAGCCGTTCCTCCTATAGCAGAATGGTTGGCGAAATGGTCTTCCTTGAATTCCAGATCCGAGACGCTGGAGGATACATAGTACTGCGAATGGAAGCTGTCCAAAAGATCATTCGACTCTGATGGCATTGCGCTCACACTGGGGGACAGGTTATCTGGCCCTGACTTCACCGGATAAAAGTCGCTCACATACTCAAGCTCGTCTTCTACGCGTGGCCCTCCGTCCTCGGGCTCAGCAATAGTAGGAGCTTCCGGGATCTCTGCCTGCTCAGATGGTGGATCCATGGCGAATGCGTCTCCGGAAAAAGAAGCCAGCATATCCTCTATGGGCAAAACTTCAGTCCGATATTTGACGGCCACACTTGGCGGTGTGGGAGGCTGCAACCCA